CCCATGTACAGATCTCACACCTAAACCCACGTACAGATCTCACACCTAAACCAAGCCGATCGCACACCGAAACCCACGTACAGATCTCACACCGAAACCCACGTACAGATCTCACACCTAAACCCACGTACAGATCTCACACCTAAACCCACGTACAGATCTCACACCGAAACCCACGTACAGATCTCACACCGAAACCCACGTACAGATCTCACACCTAAACCCACGTACAGATCTCACACCTAAACCCACGTACAGATCTCACACCAAACCCACGTACAGATCTCACACCAAACCCACGTACAGATCTCACACAAAACCCACGTACAGATCTCACACCGAAACCCACGTACAGATCTCACACCGGAAACCCACGTACAGATTCCACACCAAAACCCACGTACAGATCTCACACCGGAACCCACGTACAGATCTCACACCGAAACCCACGTACAGATCTCACACCTAAACCCACGTACAGATCTCACACCTAAACCCCCGTACAGATCTCACACCTAAACCCCCGTACAGATCTCACACCTAAACCCCCGTACAGATCTCACACCTAAACCCACGTACAGATCTCACACCGAAACCCACGTACAGATCTCACACCTAAACCCACGTACAGATCTCACACCGAAACCCACGTACAGATCTCACACCAAAACCCACGTACAGATCTCACACCGAAACCCACGTACAGATCTCACACCGAAACCCACGTACAGATCTCACACCTAAACCCACGTACAGATCTCACACCTAAACCACGTACAGATCTCACACCACGGAACCCACTGTACAGATCTCACACCGAAACCCACGTACAGACTCTCACACCTAAACCCACGTACAGATCTCACACCGAAACCACGTACAGATCTCACACCGAAACCCACGTACAGATCTCACACCGAAACCCACGTACAGATCTCACACCGAAACCCACGTACAGATCTCACACCGAAACCCACGTACAGATCTCACACCTAAACCCAGCCGATCGCACACCTAAACCCACGTACAGATCTCACACCTAAACCCACGTACAGATCTCACACCGAAACCCACGTACAGATCTCACACCGAAACCCACGTACAGATCTCACACCGAAACCCACGTACCGATCTCACACCGAAACCCACGTACAGATCTCACACCGAAACCCACGTACAGATCTCACACCGAAACCCACGTACAGATCTCACACCGAAACCCACGTACAGATCTCACACCGAAACCCATCGTACAGATCTCACACCTAAAACCACGTTACAGATCTCACACCGGAAACCCACGTACAGATCTCACACCGAAAACCCACGTACAGATCTCACACCTAAACCCACGTACAGATCTCACACCGAAACCCCCGTACAGATCTCACACCGAAACCCACGTACAGATCTCACACCGAAACCCACGTACAGATCTCACACCAAACCCACGTACAGATCTCACACCGAAAACCACGTACAGATCTCACACCAAAACCACGTACAGATCTCACACCGAAACCCCACGTACAGAAAGTCTCACACCGAAACCCACGTACAGATCTCACACCGAAACCCACGTACAGATCTCACACCGAAACCCACATACAGACTCACACCGGAACCCAGTAACGATCTCACACCGAAACCCACGTGCAGATCTCACACCGAAACCCACGTGCCGATCTCACACCGAAACCCACGTACAGATCTCACACCGAAACCCACGTACAGATCTCACACCAAACCCACGTACAGATCTCACACCTAAACCCACGTACAGATCTCACACCGAAACCCACGTACAGATCTCACACCTAAACCCACGTACAGATCTCACACCGAAACCCACGTACAGATCTCACACCGAAACCCACGTACAGATCTCACACCGGAAACCCACGTACAGATCTCACACCGTAAACCCACGTACAGATCTCACACCGAAACCCACGTACACGATCTCACACCGAAACCCACGTACAGATCTCACACCGAAAACCCACGTACAGATCTCACACCGAAACCCACGTACAGATCTCACACCTAAACCCACGGACAGATCTCACACCTAAACCCACGTACAGATCTCACACCTAAACCCACGTACAGATCTCACACCTAAACCCACGTACAGATCTCACACCGAAACCCACGTACAGATCTCACACCTAAACCCACGTACAGATCTCACACCTAAACCCCCGTACAGATCTCACACCTAAACCCACGAACAGATCTCACACCTAAACCCACATACAGATCTCACACCTAAACCCACGTACAGATCTCACACCTAAACCCAGCCGATCGCACACCGAAACCCACGTACAGATCTCACACCGAAACCCACGTACAGATCTCACACCGAAACCCACGTACAGATCTCACACCTAAACCCACGTACAGATCTCACACCTAAACCCACGTACAGATCTCACACCTAACCCACTAACAGATCCGCACAACCTAAACCCACGTACAGATCTCACACCCAAAACCCACGTACAGATCTCACACCTAAACCCACGTACAGATCTCACACCTAAACCCACGTACAGATCTCACACCTAAACCCACGTACAGATCTCACACCTAAACCCACGTACAGATCTCACACCGAAACCCACGTACAGATCTCACACCTAAACCCACGTACAGATCTCACACCTAAACCCACGTTCCAGATCTCACACCTAAACCCACGTACAGATCTCACACGAAACCCACGTACAGATCTCACACCTAAACCCACGTACAGATCTCACACCTAAACCTACGTACAGATCTCACACCGGAACCCACGTGCCGATCTCACACCGAAACCCACGTACAGATCTCACACCTATACCCACGTACAGATCTCACACCTAAACCCCCCGTACAGATCTCACACCTAAACCCACGTACAGATCTCACACCTAAACCCACGTACATATCTCACACCTAAACCCACGTATAGATCTCACACCAAAACCCACGTACAGATCTCACACCAAAACCCACGTACAGATCACACACCTAAACCCACGTACAGATCTCACACCGAAACCCACGTACAGATCTCACACCGAAACCCACGTACAGATCGCACACCTAAACCCACGTACAGATCTCACACCTAAACCCACGTACATATCTCACACCGAAACCCACGTACAGATCTCACACCGAAACCCACGTACAGATCTCACACCGGAACCCACGTGCCGATCTCACACCGAAACCCACGTACAGATCTCACACCGGAACCCACGTGCCGATCTCACACCGAAACCCACGTACAGATCTCACACCGAAACCCACGTACAGATCTCACACCAAACCCATGTGCAGATCGCACACCTAAACCCACGTACAGATCTCACACCGGAACCCACTGTACAGATCTCACACCTAAACCCACGTACAGATCTCACACCGAAACCCACGTACAGATCTCACACCTAAACCCACGTACAGATCTCACACCGGAACCCACGTGCCGATCTCACACCGAAACCCACGTACAGATCTCACACCGAAACCCACGTACAGATCTCACACCTAAACCCACGTACAGATCGCACACCTAAACCCACGTGCAGATCTCACACCTAAGGTATTGATCATGCACCGGGAAGCGCAGAGCTGCAGTTCCCACCCTCTCTGTCCAGCCTAAGCTCACTGCTCCAGGCCGCCTGCTCCTGCCTCCAGGGAGGCACAGCGGCTGGGCTCAGGCTGCACACTGATCGCCAATAACCTTGGGATGAAGTCAGACTCTGAGTCCCAACCTATGGCTGGGTTCTTTCTCCTTCGACTGTCTGCACCCAGCTCCACAGTCCCCGAGAGGAGGCCGACCTCGCTCACAGTGTCAGCAACACCTTCGCGTCCTGCCCCAGCCCGGAGCTGAGCCCTCATCTCCTGCACACCCCATCTGGCTCTTCTCTGGGGCAGTGTCAGAGCCGGGCTGGTTTTAAAGCCTCGCTGGAGTTCTTCTCGACTGGGAAGAACAGTGTCTCACCCACAGAAGCTCAGGAAAACACTCGGTTATAAATCACTTGCAAAACAGTGCCACTGGCCCACTTTCCTAGCTCAGCTGTCTCTGCACACGAAACAATGAGCAGCCTCCGCTCAGCTTGTGTGAACAGATATTGTTTTGGTATGAAATGGGGGGCAGAGAATGCATCCTGCAGATGCCCCGCCCCACCCCCAAAAAATCCAGTTATTTTATCCCTCACCCCGTCTTTTAGCTTCAAGAATGGAACTAGACGGTACCTGGAGACTGACCTGAAGACTGGGAAGGTATTTTAGCTCTGGGGTCACCGATTCCTTTCCACTTCTAATTTCCACGTCTCCAATGACCCAGATGAAAGGCTAATTGAAGTCTTGTTGGGATGCTATTAAAGTTATTTGGTGAGGTTACAATTCATGCTCTCTTTCTTTAACTTATTTTTAATTATATGGAGCTTTCAAAGCAAGGCCTGAACTAGAGAGTTAAAAGCAGGCAGGTGTTCCCGTTCTCCCTGCCTCTTTCTTCCTCACACGCAAAGGCCTCCCTCTGTGAGTCCTCACACCCACGGCTTCACCTTCTCCAGTTCCTGCTCCGCACATGAGGACCAGTGAGAAATGGGGGGGGGCGCAGCGCGGAGGCTCCGGTCTCCATTTACTGAAGACAGCATCTGCTTTCTGTCCGTCAGTAGCAGCCGGGACGTGCCTGTTGCTTTTAGGGTGTTGGAATGGAGCATCAAGATGCGAATCTGCCCCCTAACTGTTTTGTTTTATTTTAAGTGTCTGGCCTTTTTCTAGCCAAGTTCTGTTCTGCTGCAGATCAAGGTGCATTATTCAGAGGCTCGGGACTTACCCGTGACCCTTGGGATTCCTGTATTCCCTAGGGCCCACCTTCTGGGTCTGATTGGCTAACAGACCACGTGAGAACAGACACCACAGTGTCGGAAGATTTTCAACAGCTCTCTCCCACTCTGTCTTCCTGTGCCACCCGGAAGAGAAGACCGTCTTACCTGTGTCCACCTGGCCCAGGGCGCTGTGACCACCTGAGGGCTGGGTTCCGTCCCCACTCATCTTGCTATCTGCAGGGAAAGCACAGTGATTTCAGCAGCAGGCCACACTTCCTCTTGCTATGACACGTGGCTTTACCCAAACAGCGAAGTGGATGTGTAATTTACACAATCCTGGCTTCTGGACTCACAGCCATTCGCATGTCCATAGCTCCGGGCACAATCTCCTCCTACCTTCGCTGGCCTCCCCCTCTTCCTCACCTCATATCACTTATGGTCATTCCCTCCCACCGCCAAGCTCCATGGTAAACATGCAACAAGAGGGTGGGGTAGGGTGGGGCTGGGAAAGAAGGCTTGCCATTCCCAATCCTCACTTCCTTTTGGATTCGGGGGCTTTATTTTACTTGTTAAAGCAGCATAAGAAATAGCCACCTTCCCTCCTCCCCTAAAACCCGATCCTGGAAGGTAAGAAGACCTTGAACTAATTCGTCACCTACTCACATTTCTTCTCCAATTCCTGCCTGTCCTCTGGATCTCAGAGGTCAGCAGCTGCCCCCAGGAATGAAACCCAGCTCCTGGGGTCTCCCTGGCCCTGTCCTTCCAGGTCCTAGTAATAATTAATCTCGTTTTTTAACATTCATTTAAAATCTTGCTTGGCGTTGACTTGTATTGACATAACCTTCAAACACGTGGTATCTACAGAACGTGTGAAGTGCAATTAACAAGTTTTGCTTGAAAAAGTTTGTGTTTGGTTTGGTTTTTGTTGCAAAACTAGGGCTAAGAAGATGGCGGATGAAGAGCATATTCGGCACTGCATGCTTTACGAGTTCCAATTAGGAAGAAAAGCAAGTGAGGCTGCAAAAAACATCTGTAGTGCTCTTGGTCAAGATGCAGTTAGCGCCAGAAAATGCCAGCGTTGGTTTGAGAAATTTCGCGAGGGAAATTTTTCGTTAGATGACAAGAGTGGTCGAGGCCGTGTGTCCAATTTTGATCAAGAAGCTCTTCAAGCTCTTTTGGTGCAAAATCCTCAAATTACCCAACAAGAGCTTGCGACAACTTTAGATTGTTCACAAAAAACAATTTCCAATCAATTGTGTGCACTTGGCAAAGTCCAAAAGTTTGGAAAATGGGTTCCTCATGAGTTGACCGACAACAACCGTAATCAAAGAGTCACAATTTGCAGTTCGCTCCTCTCTCATCAAAACCGTTTGCCGTTTTTAGAGCAAATTGTTACCGGAGATGAAGAATGGGTGCTGTATGTTAATTTGAAAAGGCGGCCTCAATAGTTGGACAAAAATGAGGCTCCGCAGCCCACGCCAAAACCTGACTTGCATGCGAAAAAAGTGATGTTGTGTGTTTGGTGGAATTTTAAAGGAACTCTTCATTATGAACTTTTACCATCTAACCAAACCATTACAAGTGCAGTGTATAGTGCCCAATTGGAAAGGTTAGCCCAAGCTTTAAGAGAAAAAGAACCCGCGCTGATTAATCGGAAGGGCGTAATTCTTCACCACGATAATGCACGACCGCATACTGCAAGAATCACTGCTGAAAAACTGCGCCAGTTGGAATGGGAAGTTCTCCCTCAAACTGCATATTCTCCTGATATTGCCCCTTCCGATTACCATTTGTTTCGTTCTTTGCAAAACTTGCTTCTTGGAAAAAAATTTAATAATGAAGAATGCCTCAAAAATGCATTGACCGAATTTTTTGCATCAAAATCACAAGAATTTTACAACAGAGGGATTAAAATGCTTCCTGAGCGTTGGGCACAAGTAGAAGAAAACAACGGCAACTATATTGTTGATTAAATTTTGTTGTATTGTTTAAATAAATTCGATTTTAAAAAGGTATTAGAAAACGACATTAATTATTACTAGACCTAATACTTCTCTCTTACACTGCCAGCAGCACAGGGGTGACAGGTAGGTCTGAGCCTCGCAGAAAGAGAAGACCTGCCCAGGGGCTGTGGGGTTTGCCTCTCTGTCCTGCTCCATTTCAATAAACGATGAGGCCCTCAAGTGTCCTCCAAAGTCAGGAGAGAGAAGGAAAGAGGCACTTTGACCTCACTCTCTAACTATGCTCCTTAGCAAACACCCTGAAGAATCTATAATAATAAAAGCATAATATTCTAATTAGACCCTTAGTGGGCCTTCCTGACTAAGTTGGGGCTGTGGAGGAAGCCCAGGTCCTGGGTGCCTGCCTGTGGCCAAGGAAGGAAGGCCTACTCTTGCACAAATTTCCTGCATCGGGCCTCTAGTCTACACTAATAGAAGAGAAACATGCAAATTGACCATCCCTCCGCTATGCCCACCAACCAATCAGGAGCGAGTATGCAAATTAACTCAACAAAGATTATGGTTAGCCGAGACCAGTTTGGCTCAATGGATAGAGCGTCGGCTTGGGGACTGAAGGGTCCCGGGTTCGATTCCGGTCAAGGGCATGTACCTTGGTTGCGGGCATATCCCCGGTAGGGGGTGTGCAAGAGGCAGCTGATCGATGACGCTCTCTCTCATCGATGTTTCTAGCTCTCTATCTCTCTCCCTTCCTCTCTGTACAAAATCAATAAAATATTTAAAAAAAAAAAAGATTATGGTTAATTTGCATACACAGGCATGGAGGGAAGACTGAAGACAGCATAGAAGGAAGCCAAGTGCTGCAGAAGGGAGTGAAGTGGTTGAGAAGGGAGAAAGGGAGGCATCAGGCGGGAGGGAGCGAGGGAGAAGGCGGGCTTTGCTCCTGCTGCAGGAAGCCCTATTTTTGCAGGAATCTTCATGCAATGGGGCTCTAGTATCTTATACAAATGGCATGAACCCTCACCCCACCTCTTTTTGGGGCAGCACTTTAACTCTTTCAAACCAGATCAAGTCTCCAAGAGTCAATTTGCATACCTGGCTCACCAGCCAATCCCAGGTAAGCAGGCAGTATTCATTTGCATGAGGTCATAAGCAGTTGGCAGTCTGGACATTATCAGGATGCAGGAAAAGGGGGACCACTTCTCCAAGGAAAGTGGGAGCAACCTGCCCATTTTTGGGGGGAAGCAATGATGTGTGTGGCTCTGGAAGAGATTTAAATTGTGGCCCCTGGGGATTGTGACTACAGGGCAGGAGGGGTGACTTCCCTGCCTAGCAAGACAGAGATGGGGAGCCCAGAGGCTCCCCAGCTCTTAGGACACCACAGAAGCCAGGGAGAAAGGAAGCAACCTGAGGGGCCACTGTGGCCTCAGGGCTGTTAGGAGACCTGCCAAAGTGATGATTCCCAGACCCAACCCTGGAGCTCTGCACGGCCTCCCCCAGACCCACACTGCCCTGCCCGTCCTGTCTGGGGACCTCCGTGCACTGCATCGAGGAGGGCCTTCCTGCGCCCAAGTCCCTTCTCTGCGATCTGCAGCTCTCCGCGGAGCCTGTCCTGCGGAAGACGCACTGACCAGTGTGGGCGCTGGGCTCATCGGCAGAGGGCGTGGGCTGCCCTCCTTGGAGCCAGTGGCATCAGGCTCTGTCTGCCTCCCCCCAAGCACCGCTCACAGAGAGCCTGGGCGACGCTGAGGAAACGCAGAGGCTGCGGGGAGGACTGGGGGGCGGGGGATCCTCCCCTTGGTGACTTTTTAAACATATATATTTATTGATCTCAGAGGGGCAGGGAGCAGGAAGGAGAGTTAGAAACATCCATGATGAGAGAGCATCATTGATTGGCTGCCTCCTGCACACCCCCCACCGGGATCGAGCTGCAAACCTGAACTTGTGCTCTTGACTGTAATCAAACCCAGGACCTTTCAGGCCGTTCAGGCGCTCTAGCCACTGAGCCCAACCAGGTAGGGCCCCTTGGAGATTTTTGAATCTGTGTCAGTAGCGCCTGTCATTCAGAGCCTGGGTTTGGGTAGCAGACAGAACTGGGTTTAATCCCAGTGCCTTGCAATGAGTTGGAGGATCCTGGCCACGTACCTGAACCTCAGTTTTCTCAACTGAAAAATGGGAACAAAGATACTTTCCAGAGTTACGATGAGGAGCAAATATAAAAGGGTGCACGTGGCTGCCCTGGCACAAAGCAGGCCTGCGACACAGAGGCGGCGAGCCGAGCGGGCGGACGGGCGCCCTCCCCACACCACGCCAGCTCTGCTCGCGCAGCTCTGTGGGAGCCCGGCCTCCGCCTGCGCAGAGGCTTTCTCCAAGTCCTGACTTCGCCTGAAACACTCATGCGCACAGGAAGAGCTCGTTCAGGGAGGCTGGGCTGCCCGGAGCCTCGAACCAGCCTGCCTCAAACTCTGGCCTTCAATAAGCGCACCTTTTTTTAAGCTGCATCATCACTTTACGCTGTAACCCAAGCTCTCTCCCAGTGCCCACCCTCTCTGCCTTTGAATAGACCCAGTCCTCGCCTCCTTTCCTGGTGCTCAGAGCCGTCCTGCTTGCTGCACACAGGATGCTGAGGAGTCTCAGGCCCGCGCCCGCGGGGCAGCCCACGGCCCGCTGAGCCGGACGGCCTGAGCCCGAGTGGGGGTGACCTGGGAGAGCTCCTCAGGCCCACGGTGACTCTGCTGCCGAGAACCGGTTCCTGCCGGTAGGAGCTGGTGCTGATGGGTGGGACGAGCTCTTGGGTCTCAGCCTAAAAATGGGCCAACACCGAAACTCCCCGGGAAGCCGGTGCTGGGGCCAGACCGCAGCGGGAGGGAGAGGAGCGCTTATCTCATTGCAGCTGAGCCGGCTCTTCGCCATCACTCCCTCCCCGGAGGCTCGCCGCTCTGGGGGAGGGCGCCGATACTGCAGCGCTCCTGCAAGGCCCACCTCGCCCCGCCTGCGCACGGCCCAGGAGCTGCCCCCCTCAGGCATCTGCGGACCCAGTGCCCTGTGGACCGCAGGCGCCAGCCCCCTGCAGGCTGGTATCCTCCTGCCTCAGACCTCCGGGGCCCAGCTCCCCCACCTCTCCCGGCACCATGACAGGGCATGTCCCCCGAGAACATGCAAGGGGCCCCGTTCCACTTCGGAGGCAGCCAGGGCTCCCCTTTTCCTGCAGGAGACTTGCTCCTTCCAGAGAAATCCACTCCCTCACACTACGGGCCTTCCCACCAGGACCCCGGCCTTCCCACCCAGGAGAGACCCCCCTGCCCGGCCTTCCCACCCAGGACCCCCCTGCCTGTCCTTCCCACCCAGGACCCCCAGGCCGTCCCTGACCCTTCCCAGCCCAAGGGAGCAGCTCACTGGGGGTGGCAGAGAAGGAGCCTGTGGCCAGCCTTTCCCGTCTGGCTGCTCCCTGCTCTCTCTCCTCTCCTTCCCTGCCCACCCATCCCTCTCACCCCTCTGCCTGGCTTAGCAGGCAGCCCCTCCTTGGCCGTGGTGCCCAGGTCTGGGGACTTCCAGCCTGCTCCTGCTCCACGTGGGCGTTGCTCTCTGATGTGCACACGCCAGGCCCAGGCAGCCCTGACGTCTCACACCAGGTCACAGAGCCTTAGGGTGGCCTGGCTCGAGGGCCACGGCTGTGGTGCCATCTGAGGGGCCTGCGCCCACTGTGCACTCCTGCTCCCGACCTTCCTGCTCCCCTGGTGCCAGTGAGTCCACGGGGCTGCCCTGGCACAAAGCAGGCCTGCGACACAGAGGCGGCGAGCCGAGCGGGCGGACGGGCGCCCTCCCCACACCACGCCAGCTCTGCTCGCGCAGCTCTGTGGGAGCCCGGCCTCCGCCTGCGCGGTGGCTTTCTCCAAGTCCTGACTTCGCCTGAAACACTCATGCGTCAGCCGGAGAGAGGCCACTGGAGGGGAACAGGGCCCGGAAGACCAGTTCCCGCCAGGAGGGCCCTGGGTTGAGGGCCCAGACCGACCTCGAAGTGCCTCCCGCAGGAGCAGGCACCCCGCCCAGGCCCCGCCCGCCGGGTGCAGACCCCACCCACAGGCAGCCTGGGGGGTGCTCTGCGTGCCCGAGGGAAACCAGGGGCAGGGCTGCACCTGAGGGGAGGCAGAGAGGATCGGAGACCCAGGAGGGGGATGGAGACCGTCCCGAGGACCACCCCTCCCTTAGGGTTCCAGTCTCCCCTCTGGGCTGGAACCCACAGAATGAGGGCCTCTGGGCCTCCTCCAAGGCCAAGCCTGGGGGCTAAGCCCTCTCACCTCCCGTCCCTGCTTTGCTGTTCTCTGCTCGTCCTCTCAGCCTGCAGAGGGCAGGAAGCCGGTCCAGCTGCCCCTCTCCCCCTCCCCCACCCCAGCAGGAGGGTGAAGCCCCCTGGGAGTCTTTGATCTTGGCCCAAAAGGACTGGCCACTTGGGGGGTGCGTTTCTGAAGCCTCCTCCCGCCCAGGCTGCCGGTGGGAAGTGAAGGGGGGCGGGGCTGCAGCGGCCTCCCAGCCCTTCCCGGCAGCTCCTGACACCCGGCCCCTCAGAGCCAGCACCCTGCTCGCCTGCCTCAGGGGACCTGCGTGTCCCCGGGGCTGCTGGCCCAGGACAGAGCAAGGCCTCCAGCTGCTGCTCCTTGGGGGGGCCTCCCCCCCAGGAAGGAGGGCGGTCACAGCACCACCCCGCGCGCCCTCGGCGGTCCTGTGGGGAGTGCTGAGCTCCAGAAGGCCCCTACCCAAGCCCGCCCTCAGGGCAGTGCCGTCCAGCTGGGAGGGAGGGTCCGCAGGGTGATGGGGGGCCGCAGGCTCACCCCAGGCCACACTCCACTCCGGCGGGAGACACTGACTCCTGGGACGCATTCCATCTGCCCACGAGGAGAGGAGGCTCCTGTCTGCTGGGGGGCGGGGGGCAGAGTGGACTCGCCTCTGCCACGGCCCCGCCCCTGCTCCCACCGGGAGCACAGCATTGCAAGGCCTGCGGCGGCCCACCTTCCCGCTCCCCGCGCCCCCGCTCTCCGCGGGCCTGGCCCCACTCCGCCCACCCGGCCACACAGTGCCCCCTCTGCCTCCGCCTCCCGGAAAAGCCCAGACCCACACGTGGAACATGTGGGTCCTAGTGTGTTTCTCAGTGACACCTCCCAGGCCACACCGTGTGGCGCAGTGAGCGAGCCACCCCTGCAGTGAGGGGACAGGCCCTGAAGGGGCCAGAGTTCACACCCACAGCCAGGAGGGAAGCTTGGGGAGCCCGCCGCCCCCAGCCCCGCAGCCCAACTGCCTGCTTTCCCACGGTCCCCAACACCTATCTCCCCTCCCACCCCAGCCAGCACACCGCCTGTGGGGGCGGCGGGAGCGGGACCCAGAGCCCCCCCCCCCCCCGCGCCGCCCGCAGGCCCCAGCCCCCGCTCCCTCCCGCTCGCACCTGAGTGCACCAGCTGCAGGTTCACCATCCTGCCCCAGCGGCCGGCCAGGCTGCTTGCGTGGCCCCCCGCCGGCGCCCTGCGCAGCCAGGTCCCCCTCGCCGCGGCCGCGCTGGGCCGGCCCCAGTCCCGGTGGCTGGCAGGCGGGCCGCCAGGTGAGCGGGCGGGCCGCCCCGCCCCGCCCCGCCCCGCCCCGCCCCGGCAGCGCTGGCCCCCGGCCCAGGCAAAGCAGCATTTGCATACGGGAGCGGCGGGAGGAGGCAGGTGCCGCCTGACCCCCGCGGACCGGCCCACCCGCCCGCAGGCCCTGGCGGCCGGACTCCGGTGGCCCTTTGGCCGAGGCCGCCGGGCGCTGGGCTGCACCTGCGCTGGGGAGGGGGAGCGGCGGCGGGTGCCGCAAGATCTGGTTTGGGAATCCTCTGGGTGACAGGAAACGGCTTTCCCCTCGACTCAGGCCGCCCGTCTGTACAAGAGCGGCACCTTCTCACGAGGGGTAGCTCCAGCCCCCTCCGGCGGTGACAGGGTCACACGGCTCCTGGCGGGAGCCGGGTCTCTGGACCCCTATTCCAGTGCCCTGTGCACCCATCCCAGACCTGACCCCCCCACACACGCTTTAGGCGTCCGTGAGAGGTGCCAAGGCAAGGCCCTGTCCGGTCAGCGCCTGTGCCCGTCCTCCCCGCAGGCCTCCGCCGGCGGCTCTGCTGTCCTCCCCAGCCGCCCGCACCCGTTTCACACCGTGCTGACACGGGAAAGCACCGCGTGTCCTGTTATCACAGCTCGGAAAACCGGGCTGTTATTGTTTCCATTGTACAGAAGGGACAGGAGAAGCTGCTGGCTCCCTCCCTCTGCTCACAGTTCCAACGCACCTCCTGTGGGAGCAGGCCTGGCCTGGCCTCTCCCTAAAGAGCCACAGCCCTGGACCTAGCCCGGCCACCGCGGCTCTGCCGGCTGCTCTGCCCCCCGCCCCTGCTACCAGGCTGGTCCCGCCGGCCACGCCTGGGTCCTTGGCTCCCAGGAAGGTAACCGGGTAACAGGAAGGGCTTCAGAGGTGCACGCACCCATGGGGGATCAAGGCCTTTACTCAGGCCTGTGCCCTTGACCAGAATCGAACCTGGGACCCTTCAGTCCGCAGGCAGACACTTTATCCACTGAGCCAAACCAGCTAGGGCCAGAAGTGCATCTTCAGATACAGAGACCTCCCTCCCCAGCCACATTGTCTCCTCCCCCGCCCCACGGGGGGGGGGGGGGGCATGCCACCCATTCTTCCCCCTGTGGAAAGAGATCAATCAACTTCTCTGCCCAGTGAGTCCAGGGAGGCCCACTCAGTACCTCTGCCTGTCCTTCCCTCCCTCCCCTCTGCCTCCTCTCCCTCCCTCCCCTCTGCCTCCTCTCCCTCCCTCCCCTCTGCCTCCTCTCCCTCCCTCCCCTCTGCCTCCTCTCCCTCCCTCCCCTCTGCCTCCTCTCCCTCCCTCCCCTCTGCCTCCTCTCCCTCCCTCCCCTCTGTCTCCTCTCCCTCCCTCCACTCTGTCTCCTCTCCCTCCCTCCCCTCTGCCTTTTCTCCCTCCCTCCCCTCTGCCTCCTCTCCCTCCTCTCCCTGCTGGCAGGCCCCTTTCCTGGGGTCCATTTCTGACCTGCAATTGCACCTCACCTACCACCATCCTACAAAGCACATTTTATATATCCGGTGTGCCTGCCTGCGACATCCCCATCCCGATTTGCATGTCATTTGCATGGCTGTGTGCAGGGAGGTCTGACTCTGCCGTTCCGGGCCGGTCCTCCTGTCCTTGTGCAGTTACACAGAAGCAGGGGAGCATGCACCTGATGACACCGGGGCCTTCCAGCGCCCGGGCCTGGGGTTCGGGCCGGGGGGTGGGGAGGTGGGGGCGGTGAAGCACAGCCTTGGGTGTCAGACGTGGGTTGTGGGAGGGTGGGCGGGGGAGGCATGATCCCTGTTCTTTCCTTGCTCATTCCTTTTCTGTCGTTCCACCAGGAGTCGGGAGAGCTCCGCCTGCTGGGCATCTTGGTCAGCACAGCCGAGAAGGGAGGGGTCATTTTACTTTAAATCCTCAGGGGAGGATACTTTCCCACTGACTTTTAAAGAGAGTGGAAGAGAGGGAGAGAGAGAAATATCAACTGGTTGCCTCCATCATGCCTCTGACCAGGGCCGGGTCAGGAAGGAGCCCACACCCCAGGCATGTGTCCTTGACCAGAATCGAACCCGGGACCCTGTGGCCCGCAGGCGACACTCTATTCACTGAGCCACACTGGCGAGGGCTCCTTCTCTAGAGGAGACTGGGGTTCTCGGAGAGCAACGCAGACGGCAGAGGGGGAGGCATTCCAGCCAAGCCCGCCTGCTCTAAGCCCAAAGCCGCACTCAGCGGCCTCCTGCCTGGCTTGTCTCCTCTGCTCTCCCTCTGGGGCCTCGAAACGCACACAGGCGTCCTCTGTACGAGGTCACAGGACAAGCCACCTGCGCAGAGGCCCGCCACTCTGCCCCACCTGCTCCTCCCGCTCAGGCTCCGTGTGGACAGGTCTGAGTCCTCCTCTCGCTGACTTTCAATGAGCTTCCCTAAACGGGAACTCAAAGACCCCGTTGCCCTCCCCCTCCCCCCATGGAGCCCCCTGAATTCAGCTGTGCGGGCTCGGGCAGACGAGAGGAGGGGGGGTGCCAGCCCTGGAGCTGGCAGTCCACTCGGCTGTTTGGGAGAGGAAAGCCAGGGGAGAGGGAGGATGGCCTGGGGTTAACAGGAACAGAGGAAGAAAGGCTGGAAGAAGAGGGACAGGAAATTTCAGAGCCTTTGGACATCAGGAGAGCCCTATGCAAATAACATGCAAATGACCCCTCCCTGGGCCGCTTCCCCTCCCCTCGCAGTCTCCCTCCCTCCAGGACGCTGTGGTCCCCAAACCCGGCCCGGGTCCCCTTGGCAGCACCGCTAGGAACTCTCTCGCTCCCAGGCTCGGTCTCCAAACGCACGGAAGCCAGGCCTCCCTTCCAGACACGCTGTGGGGCCTGGGCCCCAGCCGTCCCGCCCGGAGCAGCGAGCAGGGCCTCCTTGGCGGCAGCCCTGCTGGCACCGGCTCCCTGCCCGTCAGCGGGATTGAGCTGTCAGCGCTGAGGAGATGGGGAGCCGGGCTGGAAGGCCACCAAGCAGCAAGTCCCTTCTAGCCTCCCGCCGGCCAGACGCCGGCCCAGGGCCGTGGGGCAGCTCCCAGCCGGGGCCACGCAGGGATCGTCCAAGCTCAGCTGCTCCGCAGGCTGACGGGAACCAGGAGACGCCAGGACGAGCTCGGAGCCCATCCCCCTCGGGCACGCGGGGCCAGAGGAAGCAGAAGAGGGCTGGGGGGGCCAGGGCCCTGAGCGAGAGTGCTCTGGGAACCATGCTAGCCACCGTTTCTGGGGATTCGACCGGAGAAGAGTGGGAGTGAGGGCTCTCCCTGCCCATGTCCCCGACGCTGGCCACCAGGCCTCCCAGTCCCCGGGACCCAGCTCCGCCCGCACACTCACCACCCATTCTGCACTGGAAGTTCCAAACACCAGAACATGCTAAGAAGTGTTTTATGTTAAAACGGCATAACAATGCTGCTTTATTTACTCAAAAATATTTTTATTGAGTTCAGAGAGGAAGGGAGAGGGAGAGAGAAACATCAGTGATGAGAGGGAACCATGGATCGGCTGCCTCCTGCACGCCCCACACCGGGGACCGAGCCGGTAACCTGGGCCTGTGCCCTGACTGGAAATCGAACCCTGGGCCCTTCAGTCCACAGGCCGATGCGCTATTCACTGAACCACACCAGCCGGGGCCACTGTTTTTAAATGTGCATTTTTTATCTTGGGGCTGCACCTTCCGCACAGCTCTGCCTCCGCAGGCTCCCTGGGACCAGGCGGGGCTCAGGTTCTCCCTTATGTTCATGACAAGGCTAAGTCCACGGCGCCCTCTTGTGGTGAGAGGGCTGTGAGCCTGCCGAGCGCCGCCCCGCAGGTCTCAGGACCCCGCACCCCCGGGGAGAGCCCGCACCCCGGGGAGAGCCCGCACCCCGGGGAGAGCCCGCACCCCCGGGGAGAGCCCGCACCCCCGGGGAGAGCCCGCACCCGGGGAGAGCCTGCACCCCTGGGAGAGCCCGCACCCCGGGGAGAGCCCGCACCCCGGGGAGAGCCTGCACCCCGGGGAGAGCCTGCACCGCTGGGGAGAGCCCGCACCCCGGGGAGAGCCTGCACCGCTGGGGAGAGCCTGCACCGCTGGGGAGAGCCCGCACCCCGGGGAGAGCCTGCACCGCTGGGGAGAGCCCGCACCCCGGGGAGAGCCCGCACCCCGGGGAGAGCCCGCACCCCGGGGAGAGCCTGCCGGGGCTGAGCGTGGGGGGTTGGGGGCTGGGGGGTCAAAGGTGAGGGCCCAGTGCCGGACGGACAGACACTGAACTTGAGCTTCAGAATGCTGCTGGGCCTTCTGGTCCCTGCTCCCCAACAAAGGCCAGATTGTACCCTGGAACCCCAGCAGGTCATCAGCCTCTGCCCAGGCGACAAGCGGAAGGAGACCTGGCCTTCTGGGGGTCGGTCCTGCGGCTGGTCATCTCTGCAGCATCTGAGCAGCCCACAGGAGGGCGTCAGGGACTCTTGTCTTTCCCGCACTCAGAGCCCCAATCGAGGACCCACTGCCGCTGCCACTGGGCAGGGATGGCACCCAGACCCCGCCCCCCCGGAGCACCCAGCTGCGATGCTACAGGCCAGCGACCAGGTGAGTCCCTCAGCGCTAACAGCATGGGCGTCGGAAAGGCCCCAAGTGAGATGCTGGGTGTGTGTGTGTGTGTGTGTGTGTGTGTGTGCAAGGAGCACAGACAGGCTCCCAGCAGGCGGCACAAGCTCAGAGCTCAGAGGGAGGCCATGGGTGCGGGCCAGCTCGCCAGCTCCAGGGACAGGCTGTGTGCCGCAGGCCGGTCGCTGGTGCGCTCGCAGGCTCCGGGAGGGACAGGCAGGACAGGCAGGGAGGGGAGGCCTGGAGCTGAGGGTGAGTGGACTCCTTCCAGGGCCATGGGCAGAAGCAGGGAGAGAGGAGGAAGAGAAGAGAGGGGCCAGGGCAGCCTGACGGCCAGGGTGGGGTGAAGGGACAGCACCTCAGGGCAGGAGGCAGCTGGAAGAGGGTCTGAGTCTGGAGGGAGAGGTGTCGCTGCTGGGATGCCGGAGGGAGCCACAGGGACTGCACCCCGCCCCCCGGCCCCCAGGGCGTGGCGCTCCCAGGCCCGGCCTGCGCTTGCTTGTGCTTCTCCTTCTCTCCTGGTGAGGAAGCCCTTCAGGAGGGCCTTCTCCCCAGAGTGCACCCCTCATCCCTGCCCCGCCCCCCACGGCTCCTACCCTGGGCCCCTTGGGGACACTGTGGTCACCAGCCAGGTCTCTACGGGAACAGAACCACTGGGGGAGATGGGAGGGGGAGGGGAGAGAGGAGCGGGGAGGGGGAGAGGAGAGAGGGGGAGGGAGAGAGGGGGAAGGGGTGGGGAGAAAGGAGTGGGGAAAGGGGTGGAGAGGGGAGAAGGGGGTGGGGAAGGGAGCGGGAGAGGGGAGAGAAGAGAGGGGAGAGGGGAGGGAGAGCGGGAGCGGGAGGGGGAGAGGAAAAGGGAGAGGAGGAAGGGGGAGGGGAAACAGGGGTGGGGAAAGGGGTGATGGAGAAGGAAGAGGGGGCTGAGGAGCAGAGCAGGAAGAGCCTTTGGATGTGAGGGGAGGGCGGCCGAGCAGGGACAGCTGTGGAGTCCGGTTCTGCCCTGGGTCTCAGCCTCTCGGGCAGCTGGCTGGCAGAGGTGCGGCCGGTGCAGGCCCAGAGGGGCCGTGGGCACAGGCAGGGAGGCCGAGGACCGACGGGCGGGGCTGAGAGGGGACAGCGAGGCGATGGCTGCAGTCACGCTGACGGGACCAGCCTGCAGGTGCGGGTGGCCATCGGGGAAGGGTGGTGCCTGCTATGTGCTGGTCTGGGCTAATGCTCGTCTCCAGGTTGCTGGGAAGCTGTGTTTTAAATCTTCACCAGAAGAAATGTTCATGGATTTGAGAGAAGAGGAGAGACCCAAGCCGCAGCGCGGTGTGCCGGGCAGAGGGACCGCAGCTGCCCGCGCTGGCGCCCGTCTGCCAAGGCCTCGGCCGGCACCGCCGGCGGTCTGGGCACCGGCCGGGGCTGAGGAAAGCAGCAGCTCCCCCCGGGCACTTCGGCATCGGGGGTCCTGCCCTGGCCGGTGTGGCCCAGTGGCTAGAGCACCGGCCTGCGGGCTGAAGGGTCAAGGACATGTGCCCGGGGTGCGGGCTCATCCCCAGCCCTGGCTGAGGCCTGTGAGAGGCAGCCGCTCCATGTCTTTCTCACACTGACATCTCCTCCCCACGCCCTTCCACTCGAAAAGTCCTCGGCTGACGATTAGCAACGACACAAAGACTCCAGGTTTTGCCTAAGCGGCCAGCCCGAGAGGATGTTGGACTTACAGACTCCACACTCGCACGGACTACTTCCTCAGAACCCTCAGCCTCTCCCTCAGCCCCGCCTCGCACCGCCGGCCTGAGGGCCTGAGTGGGCGCCGGGGAGATGGGGCCCGGACTGGGGCTGGTCATGGGGTGGGCGACCGCTGCGGAGCAGAGCCACGCCCATAAGGCGTCCCGGACCCTCCCAGGAGCCCCGCACCCCGGCACCCGGAGCCAGCACTGCACCGCCCCACTCAGGCCGCAGCCACGTCTGTCACCCGCTCCCGGCCCCGACGCCCCAGCCCCAGTGGTGGAACTGGGGTGCCCTGGTGCTTGGCTTTAATTCTCATCCCCATGACCGACACCGAGCAGGGGCCCCAGGCAGGGGCCGTCCCAAAAGAATACCAGAACACTCCAAGTCTTGAAAATATTACTTTTTACAAAAGTATTGATTTCAGCTATTTTGAAAGTGAGCAGGGAAGGCATATGATGTGGAGACCTCACTCCCTCAATGAAAGCAGACACATAGGCCCTGGCTGGTGTGGCTCAGTGAACAGAGCATCGGCCTGTGGACTGGAGTCCCAGGTTCGATTCCGGTCAAGGGCACGTACCTCGCTTGCAGGCTCCTCCCCAGCCCTAAGCCCTGGCCGGACACGTGCGGGGGGGGAACCAATCAATGTGTCTCTCTTGCATCCATGTTCCTCTCTGTCTCTCCCTCTCCCTTCCACTCTCCCTGAGAATCAATGGGAAGTCCTCAGGTGAGGATTTAAAACGAACAAAAAGGCAGACAAACAGGGTGGAAGGTGCCTTCTCCAAGTAGTGCCTCCCTCATCCCCAGGAGGGCTGAGGGCTCAGGCCCAAGGCCATAAGTGCAGGAGGGGAGGCTGACAGCAGGGGCAACGCCCCGCCCCACCCCCTCCGCGGCGGCTGAATCTTATCCTTGCAAACAGGGTCAGAGAGGAAAGCTCGCCTAACTATGGCCGTGGCCACGCCTGGCTCGCAGCCCTCCTCCAGCCTGCAGGTTCAGGTTCAGGGCAGCTGTAGCCTGTTCTGGGGTGCTGGGAGCAGAGTGGGGGGGCTGCCCTTTCTCCACGGCCTGTGAGGAGGCTGACTCCCCTCTTCCTGAGGAGCTGGGACCCGGGACTTTCCAGCCCGGAGCACACCCACCCCCACCTTGCCAAACTCACCACCCGTCAGCCTCCACCCACATCCCCTGGCCTCCAGGGCTTTGGGCAGTAAGTCCATTGTCCGTCTGTCCTCTGGGAGTCCCGTGGCCTCTGGCCCAGCGCGCAGGACAGCCTCTGCACGCAGGCAGCATGTCGGAGGGAGGGGCTTCGGAATGTAGGCTGGTGATCTGGGTTAGAATGAGGACGTCTGCTCCTTCACGGACAGAAATCCTATATAATAAAAGCCTAATATGCTAAGCGTCCAGTCTCCCAGTTGTCTGTTCAACCAATCAAAGTGTAATATGCTAATGATATACTAAGGCCATTCAACTGCTTGCTATGACGTGCACTGACCACCAGGGAGCATATGCTCGAGGGGTAGGTTAGCTTGCTGTTGGGGTCCAGCCGATCGGGACTGAGTGAGAAGGGCTGGACACACCCTGGAGTCCTCCCTCGGTCCCTCCCCGGCTGGCCAATCTCCCACATCCCTCCCAGGCCCTGATCTGCACCCGTGGGGTCCCTGGGCCTGGCCTGTGCCCTCTCGAATCCTGGGCCCCTCAGGGGATGTCAGAGAGGTGGTTTCAGCCGGATCCTGCAGGCCAGGCTGAGGGACCCACGGGCGCACGGATTCGTGCTCTGGGCCTCTAGTGATGTAATCATAGTAACACCCTGCTGGGCACCTGACAGGGGTGAACTCACGTCTCACAATTAAGCTGCTTTCACTGCTGAGAGGGCTGAGGCAGGAAGGAGAACTTGACCAAGATTGCACAGCAAAGAAGCCAGACCCTCAGGATTTGAAGCCTGGAAGTCTGGTTCTGGAATGTCCATCATCTCTCTTGACTGGAATACTCCATCTTCCCACTGTCTGGCTTGCTCACCTGTGTCTGCCTCCTCTTCCCAGTGCAGGGTTCATCTGTAACCCAGTGACCCCTTACCCCCTGCCCCCGCCCCACTGGTCCCACAACTGGGGCAGCACTGGCCAGCCCATCAAGTAGAAGTGGAAACGTTTAATTTCTGGTAGAAACGATAAATACTTCGCACTAAAAATTCAAGTTTTCCTCATCGTCACGCTCCCCCATCCCAGAGCCGGCAGACAGGACTCGGCTCAGAGGGCGAGGTGCCGGCCCGTGGCCAGGCCTCTGCCGGACGGCACGGTGGCTGCTGGGGGCGGGCCCAGGAAAAGGCACTTTGTGGGGTCTAAACCTGCAGAGTTCAACAGGAGAATCACAGGCTGGCATTGGTGGCGTGAAATTGGGGGGCTGAAGGAGGGGTGCAGTGTGCAGAGCCCCTTCCGTCAGACACAGGGGAGGGGCTGCAGTCACGCTGCCCCGCACACCACCCCCTCTTCGCAGGCTCTGGGCTGAGGAGAGGGGCGGGGAGTAAGGCCTGGGGGCGGGGAGTGTGCCGAGTCCCCGCGCTCCCCACTAGGGGTCCTCGCCCCAGGGGCACAGCTGCCGCTGAGGCACCAGGAAGGTGAAGCCGTAGCTCTTCTGGCAGCTGCGGATGCCGCACTTGTAGGGCGCGGGGCGGTCCCGGCTGTGGCAGTACTTGAGCATGCAGGGGTACCAGGCCAGGCGCAGGCCGTAGTGGCAGACGCAGGGCGCGCCCCGGTCCCCCGCCTGCCCGCAGCGAGGCAGCGCCTGTTCTGTGTCCGTGGGCAGAGCCTTGAACATGGAGCTGTCCACACCTGGGGGGGTGCAAGGTCAGGGGGAGAGAGGCAGGTCAGTGGAGGTCAGGGGAGGGGCGTCCCCGGCAGAGGGCCCATCCGTCAGGACTCTGGCACCTCATCACCCGGGAGCTCGCGCCCCGTCAAGAAGTGTCAGCCCCCCGCTCCACGGAGGGGGGTGCCCGCCTGCTGGCTGCGGGCACAGGAGGACGGCAGGAGCCTGAGGGGACCAGGAGGGAGGGCAGGGGCCCCGGGAGCTCAGGATGCCCGGGCGTGGGGCTGATGGGATGGACGGGGCTGCGGGAGGCGGCGGCAGCCACTGGGGACCAGCCTCGGGGAGATGTCAGGCCGGTGCTTCAGTCTGGGGCGCAGCCCACGGGAGTCTGCCGTCCCCGCCGCCACCTCGTGCCTGGCCCATCTGGGCCTCACCAAGATGGGGGCCTGGGAGCCATGTCCGAGGGCCCTTTCCCGTGGCCGACGCCCTCCCCCGAGCCCCATGCGCACCACTCGTCCTGTCTGAGGGCAGACCGCGCACCTTGCTCCCGCCAGAACCGGACGTCCTCCTGGCGGGTGTAGACGGCGTCCGTGGCCTCCGCACACACGGTGTGCAGGTGGGGGCTCAGCAGGGCCCCCTGGCTCAGGTTCACGGCCACGTCCATGTGCAGCCGCTCCAGGCCCCGAGCCTCCTCCGCCTGACGCACCGCACGGGGGTTCTTCTGTGGAGGAGGCCATCCCAACAGGTGTGGGTGCGCTGGCGTCTCAGTGCCAGGCCAGTCTGAGGGCGCCACGTCCCCGTCACCTCCCCCATCCCGTCCCCGTCACCTCCCCCATCACCTCCCCCGTCCCCGTCACCTCCCCCATCACCTCCCCCGTCCCCATCACCTCCCCCATCCCCGTCACCTCCCCCATCACCTCCCCCGTCCCCGTCACCTCCCCCATCACCTACCCCATCCCCGTCACCTCCCCCGTCCCCATCACCTCCCCCGTCACCTCCCCCATCACCTCCCCCGTCCCCGTCACCTCCCCCATCACCTCCCCCGTCCCCGTCACCTCCCCCATCACTTCCCCCGTCCCCGTCACCTCCCCTGTCACCTCCCCCGTCCCCGTCACCTCCCCCATCACCTCCCCCGTCCCCGTCACCTCCCCTGTCACCTCCCCCATCCCGTCCCCGTCACCTCCCCCATCACCTCCCCCGTCCTCGTCACCTCCCCCATCACCTCCCCCGTCACCTCCCCCGTCCCCGTCACCTCCCCCATCACCTCCCCCGTCCCCATCACCTCCCCCGTCACCTCCCCCGTCCCCGTCACCTCCCCCATCACCTCCCCCGTCCCCGTCACCTCCCCCATCACCTACCCCGTCACCTCCCCCGTCCCCGTCACCTCCCCCATCACCTCCCCCGTCCCCATCACCTCCCCCGTCACCTCCCCCGTCCCCGTCACCTCCCCCATCACCTCCCCCGTCCCCGTCACCTCCCCCATCACCTCCCCCGTCCCCATCACCTCCCCCGTCACCTCCCCCGTCCCCGTCACCTCCCCCATCACCTCCCCCGTCCCCATCACCTCCCCCATCACCTCCCCCGTCCCCGTCACCTCCCCTGTCACCTCCCCCGTCCCCGTCACCTCCCCCATCACCTCCCCCGTCCCCGTCACCTCCCCTGTCACCTCCCCCATCCCGTCCCCGTCACCTCCCCCATCACCTCCCCCGTCCCCGTCACCCCTCCCCCATCACCTCCCCCCGTCACCTCCCCCGTCCCCGTCACCTCCCCCATCACCTCCCCCGTCCCATCACCTCCCCCGTCACCTCCCCCGTCCCCGTCACCTCCCCATCACCTCCCCCGTCCCCGTCACCTCCCCCCTCCCCCTCCCCCGTCCCCATCACCTCCCCCGTCACCTCCCCCGTCCCCGTCACCTCCCCCATCACCTCCCCCGTCCCCGTCACCTCCCCCATCACCTCCCCCGTCACCTCCCCCGTCCCCGTCACCTCCCCCATCACCTCCCCCGTCCCCGTCACCTCCCCCGTCCCCATCACCTCCCCCGTCACCTCCCCTGTCCCCGTCACCTCCCCCGTCCCCATCACCTCCCCCATCACCTCCCCCGTCCCCATCACCTCCCCCGTCACCTCCCCCGTCCCCGTCACCTCCCCCATCCCCTCCCCCGTCCCCATCACCTCCCCCGTCCACATCACCTCCCCCATCACCTCCCCCGTCCCCATCACCTCCCCCGTCACCTCCCCCGTCACCTCCCCTGTCCCCGTCACCTCCCCCGTCCCCATCACCTCCCCCATCACCTCCCCCGTCCCCATCACCTCCCCCGTCACCTCCCCCGTCCCCGTCACCTCCCCCATCACCTCCCCCGTCCCCATCACCTCCCCCATCACCTCCCCCGTCCCCATCACCTCCCCGTCACCTCCCCGTCCCCGTCACCTCCCCGTCCCCATCACCTCCCCCGTCACCTCCCCCGTCCCCGTCACCTCCCCCGTCCCTGTCACCTCCCCCGTCACCTCCCCCATCACCTCCCCAGTCCCCGTCACCTACCCCGTCCCCGTCACCTCCCCCGTCCCCGTCACCTCCCCCGTCCCTGTCACCTCCCCCATCACCTCCCCCGTCACCTCCCCGTCCCCGTCACCTCCCCCGTCCCTGTCACCGGGCGGACAGGCCGGGCGGAGGTCTCAGGCCGGCGCCATCTGAGGCCGCTCAGAAACACCACCCTTCCCTGCGGCCAGAAGCACCCAGTCCTGCTGTCCCGGGACAGGGGCAGGGTGTCAGCAGGGTGACCTCCGGCTCCATGCCTCCTGGGAGGGGCATCTCTCTGGAGGGAGGGGCAGGCCCAGGGACAGGCAGAGGTGAGGCTCTGAGGAGGCGAGGTCCCACCGCAGCCCGCACAGAGGTGGCCCTGGTCTGAGGGCAGAGCCACCTTCAGGGGCGAGCACCCAGCCGCCCCCAAGTGGGCGCTGACTGTAGGGGCCGGAAGGCTCAGTGCGGACCAGGGGTCTGGGGTACTGATTCGGGTGTGGCCAGGGCAGAGTGGGGGTTCAGGTCTGAGTGCTAAGGCCTGGTGCCGGCAGCATGCGGTGGCTGCAGGGTGGGAGCGCTGTGTGGAGGGGGACCACGGCCGGCGGCCTCACCTGCCGGAGCTTAGCCATGGCCTCGCTGGGGATGATGTCCTGGTCGCGCAGACGGGTGAGGAAGCAGAGTGCCTGGAAGTGGCGCTGGCCCTTCTCCTGCTCCCCCAGCACCAGCGCCCGCAGGATCTTCACGTGCTGGGGGGGGAGGGAGGGCTGGCTGAGGTGCAGCCCCACAGGGACCCACCCAACGCCCCTCCCGCGGGCTGGGAATGGCCCTCCCCACTCCCTGCAGCAGGGAGGTGGGGGTGTGGGGTGGGACCCCTTCCTGCCTGCCTGCCTACGGAGCCCTGGGCTCTGCCCCCTGCACTGGGGAGGCACGGAGGCTCAGGGCCCAGAGGGAGAGGGGACAGAGGCTCAGGGCCCAGGGGGGGGGGGGTGACGGAGGCTCAGCGCCCAGAGGGGGGGGGGACGGAGGCTCAGGGCCCAGAGGGAGGGGGGATGGAGGCTCAGGGCCCAGAGGGGAGGGAGGACGAAGGCTCAGCGCCCAGAGGGGGGGGAGGACGGAGGCTCAGCGCCCAGAGGGGGGGGAGGACGAAGGCTCAGCGCCCAGAGGGGGGGGGGACGGAGGCTCAGCGCCCAGAGGGGGGAGGACGGAGGCTCAGCGCCCAGAGGGGGGGGGGGACGGAGGCTCAGGGCCCAGAGGAGGGGAGGACAGAGGCTCAGCGCCCAGAGGGGGGAGGAACGGAAGCTCAGCGCCCAGAGGGGGGGGGGACGGAGGCTCAGCGCCCAGAGGGGGGGGGACGGAGGCTCAGCGCCCAGAGGGGGGGGGCGGAGGCTCAGCGCCCAGAGGGGGGGATGGAGGCTCAGGGCCCAGAGGGGGGGGGACGGAGGCTCAGCGCCCAGAGGGGGGGATGAAGGCTCAGTGCCCAGAGGGGGGGGGGGGACGGAGGCTCAGGGGCCTGAGGGGGGGGGGCGGGGGGACGGAGGCTCAGGGCCCAGAGGGGGGGGGGACACGGAGGCTCAGCGCCCGGGGGGGGGGGGGGACGGAGGCTCAGGGCCCAGAGGTGTGGGGGACGGAGGCTCAGCGCCCGGGGGGGGGGGGACGGAGGCTCAGCACCCAGAGGGGTGGGGGGGACGGAGGCTCAGCACTGCGGCTCCCTGGGCCCCTGGGGGCGAGTCGGCAGCTCACAGCTTCTCTGGGCAGCAGATATGTCCTCGGGCCCACCAGCCGCCTGGCCTCCGGCCCAGGTCAGCAGGGGTGGGGGGGGACTGGGGCGGTGCCCTCAGGGAGCTGCCACTGCAGGCTCCGTCCTGCCAGGAGGCTTCACTCGGACCCACCGCCGGCATTTCCAGAGCCAGAGGCTGCCCACTCCCGCCGCCTCCGTGGCTCTCGGAGCTGGTGGGACCTCCGCGTGTCTCTCCCACCCACGCCTGCTTCTGGGCACCGCCTGCCCCGGCAGCAGCAGGAGCTGCTGATACTGCTCGCCCAGGGCTTGCCCACTGGTTCAGGGAGAGGGAGGGAGGGCTGTCAGAGAGGACACCGTGTGAGGGACGCCGTGGGAGGGACGCCGTGTGAGGGACACTCTGTGAGGGACACTCTGTGAGGGACGCCGTGGGAGGGACGCCGTGTGAGGGACACCGTGGGAGGGACGCCGTGGGAGGGACACTCTGTGAGGGACACTCTGTGAGGGACACTCTGGGAGGGACGCCGTGGGAGGGACACCGTGGGAGGGACGCCGTGGGAGGGACGCCGTGGGAGGGACGCCGTGGGAGGGACACCGTGGGAGGGACGCCGTGGGAGGGACACTCTGTGAGGGACACTCTGTGAGGGACACTCTGTGAGGGACGCCGTGGGAGGGACACTCTGTGAGGGACACTCTGTGAGGGACACTCTGTGAGGGACGCCGTGGGAGGGACGCCGTGGGAGGGACGCCGTGGGAGGGACACTCTGTGAGGGACACTCTGTGAGGGACACTCTGTGAGGGACGCCGTGGGAGGGACACTCTGTGAGGGACACTCTGTGAGGGACACTCTGGGAGGGACGCCGTGGGAGGGACGCTGTGGGAGGGACGCCGTGGGAGGGACACTCTGTGAGGGACGCCGTGGGAGGGACACTCTGTGAGGGACACTCTGTGAGGGACGCCGTGGGAGGGACACTCTGTGAGGGACACTCTGTGAGGGACACTCTGTGAGGGACGCCGTGGGAGGGACACTCTGTGAGGGACACTCTGTGAGGGACGCCGTGGGAGGGACACTCTGTGAGGGACACTCTGTGAGGGACACTCTGTGAGGGACGCCGTGGGAGGGACGCCGTGGGAGGGACACTCTGGGAGGGACGCCGTGGGAGGGACACTCTGTGAGGGACACTCTGTGAGGGACGCCGTGGGAGGGACACTCTGTGAGGGACACTCTGTGAGGGACACTCTGTGAGGGACGCTGTGGGAGGGACACTCTGTGAGGGACACTCTGTGAGGGACGCCGTGGGAGGGACACTCTGTGAGGGACGCCGTGGGAGGGACGCCGTGGGAGGGACGCCGTGGGAGGGACACTGTGAGGGACGCCGTGGGAGGGACGCCGTGGGAGGGACACTCTGGGAGGGACACTCTGTGAGGGACACTCTGTGAGGGACACTGTGTGAGGGACACTCTGTGAGGGACGCCGTGGGAGGGACGCTGTGGGAGGGACTGGCTGCCTCCTGCAGGAGCCCGCTGGGCTGGGGCCTGGGAGGAGCCTGCCTCCGAGGTGCCCGCCCTTGCCTGGAGTTGAACCCGAGACTCTTTGGTCCGCAGGCCGACACTCCGCCCCGAGCCACAGGGCGAGGCCCTTCTGTCTGAGCTCCGAGGCCCGTGGGTCTGAGCTCCGAGGCCCGTGGGTCTGAGCTCCGAGGCCCGTGGGTCTGAGCTCCGAGGCCCGTGGGTCTGAGCTCCGAGGCCCGTCGGTCTGAGCTCCGAGGCCCGTGGGTCTGAGCTCCGAGGCCCGTGGGTCTGAGCTCCGAGGCCCGTGGGTCTGAGCTCCGAGCCGGGGCAGAGAGCAGGCGGTGTGGGCACTGCGGGGCGCAGCCAGCACCACGGCCCCCGCGGGGCACGGCCCAGGGGCCCCGGCTGCAGGGGCCCTCGGGCTCGCTGTGTGCAGGACACAGGGCGCCGAGCTCCCGCCGGGGCATCCTGTGTCCCACGGGCAGCGGACAGGGGAGGGGGATGCTCCAGGCCATGGGCGAGAGGAAAGGCAGCCGGGGTCCAAGGGAGGCGCCCACCCCGGAGGCCAGGGCTCCCAGGGCCCGGGCCTGCTTCCCGGTGCCCGCTAGCAACCTGCGCTCAGCCCAGCGAGGGGCGCTGCCTGGGCCACCGGCTGGCGGGAGGCCGGGGGCCGGTCACCGGGCTGGCTGCGGCAGCCCCTCCCCCACGCCTCTGTGAGTAGCAGCAGCCGAGGGAACAGGCCCGGCGGCCCTGAGCCTGGCCTGCGCCCCTCCCCGCGCTCAGGCCCTCACTCCGCACAGGGAGGGAGCGGCCCTGCTTCAGGGGCCCGAGGCGGGGTGGGGCCGGGCGGGGGGGCTGGTGAGGGAGCCACGCAGACGGGCCGCGTCCTGCGGGGCTGGGAGGGGAGGGACGCGGGGGCACATGCGAACAGGCCCGGTGGCCCGGGTTTCAGGCTCAGCACCGGCGGCCCTCGTCGGTGGCGACTACAACCAGCAGCTCGGTCCTCGGGACGGAGGGGAGGGGAGCGAGGGCGGACGGAGGGACGGAGGGAGGGACGGAGGGAGGGAGGGACAGTTGGAGGGACAGAAGGACAGACAGAGGGACAGATGGAGGGACGGAGGGACAGATGGAGGGACGGAGGGACAGACGGAGGGACGGAGGGACGGATGGAGGGACGGAGAGACGGATGGAGGGACGGAGGGACGGATGGAGGGACGGAGAGACGGATGGAGGGACGGAGGAACGGAGGGTCAGATGGAGGGACAGAGGGACAGATGGAGGGACGGAGGGACGGAGGGACAGATGGAGGGACGGAGGGACGGAGGGACAGATGGAGGGACGGAGGGACGGATGGAGGGACGGAGGGACAGATGGAGGGACGGAGGGACAGAGGGACGGAGGGACAGATAGAGGGACGGAGGGTCAGTTGGAGGGATATAGGGACGGAGGGTCAGTTGGAGGGATGGAGGGTCAGTTGGAGGGATATAGGGACGGAGGGTCAGTTGGAGGAATGGAGGGTCAGATGGAGGGACGGAGGGACAGAGGGACGAAGGGACAGATAGAGGGACGGAGGGTCAGTTGGAGGGATATAGGGACGGAGGGTCAGTTGGAGGGATGGAGGGTCAGATGGAGGGACGGAGGGACAGAGGGATGGAGGGACAGATGGAGGGACGCAGGGTCAGTTGGAGGGACGGAGGGACAGATGGAGGGACGAAGGGTCAGTTGGAGGGACGGAGGGACAGATGGAGGGACGGAGGGACAGATGGAGGGACGGAGGGTCAGATGGAGGGACGGAGGAATGGAGGGTCAGATGGAGGGACAGAGGAACAGATGGAGGGACGGAGGGACGGAGGGACAGATGGAGGGACGGAGGGACGGAGGGTCAGATGGAGGGACGGAGGGACAGATGGAGGGACGGAGGGACGGAGGGACAGATGGAGGGACGGAGGGACGGAGGGACAGATGGAGGGACGGGACGGAGGGACAGATGGAGGGACGGAGGGTCAGTTGGAGGGACGAAGGGACAGAGGGACAGATGGAGGGACGGAGGGTCAGATGGAGGGACGGAGGGATAGAGGGACGGAGGGACAGATGGAGGGACGGAGGGTCAGTTGGAGGGACGGAGGGTCAGATGGAGGGACGGAGGGACAGAGGGACAGATGGAGGAACAGAGGGACAGAGGGACAGATGGAGGGAGGGAGGGACAGAGGGACAGATGGAGGAACAGAGGGGCAGAGGGACAGATGGAGGGACAGAGGAACAGATGGAGGGACGGAGGGTCAGAGGGACAGATGGAGGGACGGAAGGTCGGAGGGACAGATGGAGGAAGGGAGGGACACAGGAACAGATGGAGGGAGGGAGGGACAGAAGGACAGATGGAGGGACAGAGGGTTGGATGGACAGATGGAGGGAGGGAGGGACAGAGGGACAGATGGAGGGACGGAGGGACGGAGGGACGGAGGGTCAGATGGAGGGACGGAGAGACAGATGGAGGGACGG